AACTAGGGTTTTGTACACTAATGTTCTAGGGAAACTTCCAGCCCAGGGTTAACCAGTATAGTGTAGGAGGGGCCCCCTCAATCATTATTTGGTCAGTAAATTAAATGATTGTGTTATGAATTGCTGGGTCTACCATGACCACCGGGTCTTCCAAGTGCTGGAGCTCTGGCAACAGTGGTATTTTCTCCTGCAGCAAGGCCTCCATAATTGCTTTAACCTGACAACTCAGGTGGTCTCCTACCAAAAGAGCACAAGTAAAAATCTACATTTCCAACAGTAATAGCTGGGATGGGGAGGGCTGCGATGAAAAAGAAAATCACAAGATGTTTCTGATAGGAGAGATTCTGGGGTCTCATCTGCTGGGAAGAAGATCCTCCGGCACCAAGATAACAGACATGCTGATCTGCAAGACTGAACTCTCCATACCCTAGAAGCTGACGCCTATAATCAGAACCATCATCTATGGGATGATTATTACAGGTGAATTTATTACAGCTGAATTTATTACAGCTGATATTACAGGGCTGAATATCCAAATGGACACTGATTAATATTGAATGAATGAAGTGAAATATTGGACCATGGGTCACAACAAGAACACGGTGGGGGAAGAGGGAGAGAGAATTCCAGAAACTCCTGTATCCATCTAAAGAGTTTGCAAAGAAGGGACGAAAGGGGATGGATAGCAGCTGCATGTCCTCTGCCAATTTTGTTTAAAATTCCTTCATTTAGGTGGAAAGGGGGGTGCCGGGGGAAGGCTCCGAAGCAAAGAAAAGCAAGAAAGGGAGAAGGAAGTGTCCAGTGCTCAATGAACCCACACGTGTGAAAGGCTAATCCAGAAATCACTCAGTAATCACCACCATGAAGTCAGACCAGGGTGACATCGCTCACTCCGCCTAACCTCACCCACCCCCCCTCCCACAAAGCCTCACTTACTAAACCAAAGTGACCTTCTGAGTCCGGCCACACGGCCTCAGCTCCTGGCCCCTTGGCCCTCCTATGCACGAGCTTCTACACACCATTAGCTTCCTTCCAAAGTCCCCTGTACCTCTCATTCTCATCCAGAATACACTTTTCCTGTTTTCGAGAGAAAGTACTGGCCCCTGTGCTCAGTCAACAGAAACTGGAAGACAGAGGAATGTTGAGTTTCCGGGGCATCTATGATCGCATGGGAGAGTCTGAAAAGGGGGTCAGGATTCAGGTGCTTCTGTAGGATTTTAGGTGAACCATCAATTTCCCTCTTTCTCTCCACTTCTCCACCTTTATTGGAGTCAATAGCGTTGGCTCCTCACCATCACACACTGCTGGGTAGGTGTCGAGGTGGATGAAGACAGCAGGGTTGGCCTGTCTGTGCAGACTGACCCACACTGGGAAGACAGGGCAGAGCTTAAGGAATCCCAGCTGATGTCTTTAAGCTGGATTCTTTTGATTTTTAACTCCAGTCCCACCTTCTCTTGTGCTAAAACAACTGTTTTTCTGCTTGGGCTTCTGCCCCTTCCTGACTGAGGAACAGGGTGCTTTCCATTTCTGTGCTATGACGCTGTGTAGAGGCAGGAATAGATATGGTGCAGGTTTTCTGATCCCATGCAGACCGGGTAAAGGAGGAGTCAGAGTCCTCAGCGGCTTTTTGCAGGTCTTTTATTGGGGTTCACCAGACATATAGCAGGCAGGGGTGCTGGGAGGCCAGGAGGCTGGCAGGCCTCCCAGCCCCCAGCAAGTCTTCACTCTATCTGGGCTCTCCGGCCTTCTCTGCTTCTTTCTCTGCTTCTGCTACTTCTTTCTCGGCTTCTCTTTTTGGCTTCTACTGGCGTCCCCGTGAAGATGTCCTTAAAAGCACAGTCTTAGCTCAGCTGAATCCCATCTACCTATGCCCACACCCTATTCCAGGTGCCCGCCATCAGGCATGCATTCAGGACAAGGATCCATCCATTTCTGATGGCGGGAGGGCAGAAAAGCCTGACATTTTCTTTACCCTACACGCTGTTACTGAAGCAAGCACACATCTGCCCTCTTTTTTCACTTTTTATTTTTATTTTTTTAAAGATTTATTTATTTATACAAGAACTGGGGTACAGTCAGAGGCATGGGAGGGTGAGAGAATCCACCAGAGTCAGAGCGGGCAGCAGAACAGTCAGAAGGACCAAAGATACTGCTGAGGGGAGCAGCAGTCGAAGTGGGTCTGTCACACCATGTGGGATTCCCCCTGGCTGGCCGGGAATCGAACCAACAGTGCAGAGGCTGTGGACAGCTTCACAGCACGGCACTCAACCTGCTGCGCCACCTGGGAGGCCCTTTTCACTTTTTGAAAAATGTCTTGACAGGGAGTCATTGCGGGAAAAGAGTGCATGCCACAACACAAATAACAGAGAACGCAGAAGTAACAAGAATTTTTTTTTAACAAGTCACTGGTTTCATTCTTGCTTATTTTTGAGGCATGAAAGGGGTATTGTGCACACAATAGCAGAGATGCAAGTGGCTAGGGACAGAAGCAGTCAGAGTAAAAAGAAATTGAATCATCTAAGAATTCACATAATTAATCATAAGAAATACAAAAGTGCAAAAACAACTTCAACAGAAATCCTCCACTCGTATGTCTCCACCACCATGAAGGAGACATGGGCTTGCCAGCAATAATTCCTATGCCCACGGTGATTTTTCCCCTTTTTTACATCCTGCAGATTTTCCTATACTTTTTCCTTGATGGCCCACCTCACCACAGATAAATTCCTGTGGAGGGGAGTAGCCTGAGCCCAGGAGCACCCTCTTCATTTTATGTAAATTTTATGTAAATTATGAGTCCTTCTATCCTACTTTCTCCGGGATCATGATTTCATACCCTATTTCTCACCAAAAAATCCCACCAAAAAAAAAAAAGTCACGGCTATGGACTCTCAGAAGCCCCCGTAAAGGGTCATAGAGAGAAAGAACCTGCTTGATAAACTCATAGCACTGGTTATGCTTCATTGGTACTGGAGGAGGGAAAGCAGAGACACACACACTTGTTCAGTTATTTGTGTGATCCCAGGAACTAAGGCTGACCTGTCATACAGCTCAGACTAATTCATTGCTCCGTTTTGGTCTAAAACAAAGACACAAAACCCTTTGGGTGGGCACCAGGAGTATAGTTCTCATCACTCTAATACTTAATAGTAACTCTGGGGCTCTGATCTACCATTTAACTGTTTTGAAACCCAACTCTATCTTTCAAATTGGGTTATTTCCCAGCATTTTGGAGTGACAGCAGTATTGATAATAACCATAACAGTGAGGATGATTGCAGCTAGCTTTGATAGAACACTTCCTATGTGCCAGATACTGTGTAAACATTTAATATGGATTATCTACTCTGGTTTCTATGTCCTAATAGAACTATCTTAGCCATCTATTTCTACCTTTAAAATTGCCACAAAACTTAAGAGCTTAAGAAATACACACTTCCTATCTCATTCTTTCTGCGGATCAGGAATCCGGGCATGACTTAGCTTTAAGGTCTCTCAATCAAAGAGCTGCTCAGGATACAGTCATCTCAAAGCTCAAATGGGTAAAGATTTGACTCCAAGTTTATGTGATCATTTGGTAGTATGCAGTTTCAAAAGACCTCCGTTCTTCACTGACTATTATCTAGATGCTGCCTTTAGTTCCTCGTTATATGGACCTCTTCAGCATGGTAGCTTCCTTCTTCAAGTGGTAAAAGCTAGGAGGGCAATAGAGACAGTCTACTGGCAAGAAAAAGTCACAATCTTTTATAACTTACTTATATAAGTGACATCCCATAACCTTTGTTATATTCTATTGTCTAGCATCACATCACTAAGTCTAGCCCACATTCAATATGTCCTGTCCACACTCAGGATGACATGGAAACCTGGAGGCGGGGATCTTCCGGTATCATATCAGAAATCTGCCTACCTCAAAACCAGTCAGGGAAGGAGGGAGAATGGGCTTTTTTTAGGATTCCAAGGATAATATCAAGACCACGAGATGGAAGCACTTCAGGGTGAGAATTGAAGCTAATAAAGGTAGTGGCTAGGAGGTGCAATGGCTTGTATTAATTTTGATGCTATTTTTTTCCTCTGTCCTATCCCATAACATGCAGGTAGAGCTGACAAGACATTGAGTATGGGGCTAGAATCTGTATGTAGAACTACTAGGGTTTTTTTGAGCAGGAAGAATGGGATATGGTTCAAATATTTCCAGTGATCCAAGAATGATAATCAGTGGTTGAGCAAAACACAAGCAAGTTTATCAAAAACCTATGTATTACCCAGAAGTGACCTTGGGGTCTCAACATTTGGGTCTACATAATGGGATAATATAAAGACCTGAATCAGAGGGGAGCCATACTGTTATCTTTTATAACCATCCCCAGAAATCTTCCCAAATCCCCAAAGCTCTGCCCATTAAAATCTTTCCTCCCATCACTCTCTTCCTTCTGAAGCTCATCTTTCAGCCAACAGAGAGGGGGATCAGGGAGCTCACCCTGTGGGCTTTTCTCCTGGAATATTTCCAGTATCATGGTATCAGGACAGTAAAGAGATATTAAGAGAGGCAAGACAAACATGTAAGTGTCTTAAAAACCTCCCTTTAGTACAGGAAAGAAAGAAGAAGTCAGGAAAAGACTACCTGAGAACATAGATCATCAAAAAATGCTAAAATTTTCCAATATTAGCAGGGAATTACCCACTGTGGGGATTAAGAATGCCCTTTTATTCAAAGGATGGGAGATCTTCCCTCAGCTGACAAAGGTCAGCTGATCCTTGTCAGCTGAGGGGCCCATCTAGCTCAGAAGAGCAGGACAGCTATTAGAAACCACTCCTTCATGCAGTCCACAATGCTGTGTTTTTAGGTTAATCCTCCAAGCATATTAGAATTACTTGCAATGGTTAATGAGTAGCTTCTAAGTGCCTGCTTCATTTAATTGTCCAAAGGCCAGTTGATCCCAGAGTGTATAAAACTGCGAGCTGGCTAATGAGAGCATTCTCTGCAAGCAAGGGAAGCAGAGGAGTGGCACGGTCAGGGAGCTGGGTTCCAAAGGAGCAAGGATGCAGAACAGAGCTGGTCTAGTTCTCTGTGCCCTTGTCCTCCTCACGGGTTTTCTTATGATCTGTCTGGGGGCCTTCTTCATATCCTCAGGTTCAATATTCAATTGCTTCGAGAAACTGAACCTGGCCTACTTACTTCTTCCTCTGGGGTTTGTGATCCTTCTGAGTGGGATTTTCTGGAGCACCTATCGCCTGGCATGTGAAAGCAAATGGATGTTCACTCATGTGCTCAGACAACACCATGCTCGGGGGGCAACCCTGCCTTTAGCCACAGTGGACAGGTATGTACTGAGAAGCCAGGGGACTGAGGAGGGTTGAGCTGGGACCAAGTTCTGGGCAAGCTGAATGACTTCTAATTCTACTATGGAGCAACTTACATGTGCCATGGGCTGTATGTCTACACCCAAAGCTGTATTGTCAGGGGAATTACTCTTGGGTTAACCAATAGGAAGAATGGTGCCACCTTTGCAGAAGACCATAAAGTAGGAGGGATTTATTTCAGAGAGCCCTTCCCCCACCCCACCTACATGAGCCAATTGAAGAGACTTAACTCTTAGGTTCATTGGCTGTGTCAAAGGAGCTTGTCTGAGAGGAAGGTGGTGGTTGGTTATTCCCCATAACCTGGCTCTCAGAATATAAAGAAATCAAGTCCTAGGCCAAATTCTTCCACATGAAGAATGAACAGACTGGCATAAAAAAAAAAAATCTTACAACCTCTTCATGAGCTCAGTGAAGTCCCAGCTTACTATCCTTTTAAGTGTTTTCTTCACACCTTGCATGAAAGTTTTATTCAATGCAAGAAAATAATAGTCCAGAGGTAAGATTCCATTAGCCTTACAACCTCATACCAGTTAGGATGGCTATTATTAAAACACACACACACACACACACACAAGCAGAAAACCGTGAGAATGGCAAAAATGTGGAGAAATTGAAATCTCTGTGCACTCCTGGTAGGGATGTAAAATGGTGCAGCCTCTATAGAAAATGAGATGTAGTTTTCTTAGAATATTAGAGAGAATTACCATCTGATCCAACAATTCTGCTTCTGGGCATATAGACAGATAATCGAAAGCAGGGACTTGAACAGGCATTTGTACATCAAAGTTCATAGGAGTATTATTCACAGTAGCCAAAAGATGGAAACAATTTATTCATCAGTGAATGAATAAGAAAAACTGGTAGATACATAAAGTGGACTATTATATAGTTCTGAAAAGGGAGGAAAGTCTGACAAATGTTCTAAGATAGACAAACCTCGAAGACATTATGCTAAGTGAAATAAGCCAGACAAAAAAACACAAATACAATTATGATTCCACATATATGAGGTAGCTTACAGTAGTCTAATTCATAGAGAGAAAATAGAACAGTGGTTACCAGAGACTGGAAGGAGAAAATAGGAAGTTATTACTTAAAGTGCACAGTTTTAATTTGGGATGATGGACAAGTTCTGGAAACAAACAAAGTGGTGGTGGTTGAACAATGTGAAGGAACTTACTGACACTGAATCTTACACTTAAAATGGCTAACATGATAAATTTTACATCACATATATTTTACCACAATAAAAATATTTCACTTAATCTTATTAGCATTATCAGTTGTTTTATATTATAAAATATTAAAAATTTATATATTTATAATATATTATATATAAAATATTAAAAAAGTGTTTTATAATATAGAACAAACTCCTAATTCTTGACTGAATACAGGACTTTTTAAGGATAAAATTGTGGTATCATCCTAAAGATATAGGCTATTAGCCACATAAATGTTTGTGCCTCTTCACCTGTCTAAAAATAATTTAGCTACTTCACCTACTGTGAGTATAAGTAATTTTACCCAGGATGGTTGATTTTTGACACTATTATTTTTTATAATAATGAATAAGATACTAATTACAATAACCAAAACCACTTCTAATGATTATTACACTGACTAGCAAGTTCTCTGGGGCATGATAAAAAAATTAATTAAACAGTCTAGTGATTGTAGAAGTGATCACTTCTAGAGGGATAATTTTTTTCTTGGGGTGGGGGGCAAGGGATAAATGTGATATGATTTACTGCCTTCAGAGTATGAATTCCTGATAAGAGAAACGGATGATCTTTAGAATATAGCTTAAATTTACTAACACGTGTCTGACATTACATTGTCTGTACTGGAATATTTTAAAGTAAATTATAGACATCGTGACACCACTGTGTCTCCCTGCAGCATCTATGTGATGCCCACCCCACTCAGAATGCCTAATAAGTCAATCAATGTTAACTACTAATTTCTTAGAAGCATTTACACAAAATGAGTACCCACATGAAGGTAACAGAGCAACTGGCTTGCAGTGGTGGAATTCAGGGTGCTGGTAATGTGAATTGGTGTGGGGGTGGGGACTAGAATTTGGGGGCAGATGGCAGTCATTCTGGAGCCTCTCAAATCACTCCAGACAACAGCTCACCTTTCTGTCTTCGGTGCCTTTACACATGTACCCGTGACACAGCCTTGGCTATTCTGAGTGAGGCTGAGATTATGCTGTACAGTAGACAGCTCCTTCAGTGATTTGGCTTTGGGCCTGGTAACATTTGGAATGGAACTACAGCTACAAATGGCAGTCCCTGTTCTGTTGTGGTTACATACCATAAACAATCCCTGTAGGCACTGAAAGGATTCTTTCTATAAATATACACTCAACCAAGCTCACCCTCTCTCTTCCTCGCTGGCCACCCCACCCCCAATTCCATTCATGAAGGAGAAGCCAGAAGGATTTAGCAATTAGCAACATTGGGTAAGATTGCCAATGAGTACATCAGCTCTGGAGTGAATGGCTCCTTTAGCAATAGGTCTGTTGGCATTAAAAAGGGCTGCAACTGAAATCTACACAAAGTTGTCAGCTGAATTTGAGAAACGAGTATGTATTTTTGGAAACTAGCTCAGACTGGTGGGGAAGAGAGAAGGCTCTGATGCAGTTCAGGAATCTACATGCAGTTGGTTTTCATTCATTATTTTGTTGGCTGTGAGGATTGGGCAGTGAGTGCTATTAAGTAGATGTTGTATGTGAAAGGGGGCAAGAATGTGAATTGACTGGGTAGAGGGAATAACTGGGTAGAGAGAAGTTCCAGAACCAAGGTGCCCAGTTCCCTGCTCCTGATAAACATTTCACACTGAAACTCCTGTTTTAATGAGTAGGACAGAAGGGACACGTGGACTAAACCAAGTGAACCATAAAGGCACAAAGCCTGTGACCAACAGAAGGTTCCACTAGAAGAGCTGCACATCTTTAAAAAAAAAAACTGGTGATACCAGGGAAGAAGTGCCTCTATTCCAAAATAAATGATTCTTAACCATTTAACTTTGCACAATGTGCTTTGACAGAGGCAGACATCTGCCTCAGCATTAAAATGGAAATAACACATGTATGTCTGTGGCATTTTGTCCCCCAGACCAGACTTTTACCCGCCTGCTTATGAAGAGAGTCTTCCTAATGAAAAGCAGACCTGTCCTGCCATGGCCTCAGATGTTCCTCCACCTCTGTACATGAAGATGGACCTTGAATTCAAAGATGAACATGATGCCCGCCCAGAGGCCCCGCCGTCCTATGAAGAGTCCATAGTGGTCAGGGTTGCGGCAGCAACGCCAGGGCAGGATACTGAGAGGCAAGGCCATGCATGCTGAAGCAGGAAGCTCCCTGGCATGGCACTCACGGCCAGCCCCTCCTGGAATAGGCTGCTAATAATAAACACAGGCCAGGGACTGGGGGAGGAAACCCAAGTCAGTGACCCTGTGTGAGCGCACCGGGGATTCTGTGTGGACAGTGCAGTTCCCCAGATGGGCTTGGCCTGCCGGGGTGGGGTAGGAGCCCTAGAAGGCTGGGGTTGGCATCAAGCACATATTTCAAAGGATGTGTGTCAATCCCAGCCCAGGTGAACCTTTGGCCTGCAGACATGTACGGAGAGCTCAGGCCCACATAGATGCTTTCTCCTCCCACTCAACTCCCCTCCAGGAAGCACTTTGTGTCTAAAGTTACAGATCCACACATTTTCAGACTCAGGACACTTATTTTTAAGCCCAACTTTTCTTCTTCAGCTTTATTATGTTTTATTACATGTTTTAAGGCCAGGGGCAAGTCAAGGGGCAGGGAGGTGGAAGTAGAAGCAACCTGATGCTTTTCAGCTATGATAAGAAACTTCAGATTCTCTGGGTCTTAGTTTCCTCCTTTGCCAAGTAAGAATTTAATGTTGGAAGTAATATCTATTATTATGGAAAGCCTTTATGTGGTAGGTTCTGCGCTATAAACTTTTTGTGCTTTTATTTCGCCCTCATTATAGTGTTGAGAGATAACGTTATTCCCATTTTACAGACACATAAACTGAAAGTTCGAGATATTAAGAAATTTTATAATAGCAACACAGTAATATCCAGGAGTATGAAGAAGTTTCCTTAGAGGGACTTGGGAAAAGGCATTTACTTTGAACTTTTGTGCTAGAGTAGTCCTGTCTTCTCTCCTCCCAGGAAACAGTTGGGACTTCTCCCCTCTTTCGGACAGTGGCCCTAAGGGTATGTGATGCCCCAGGGTTGCTGCAAAAGCTTCACCCCTTGGAGAGGCCACTGAGGTTGCACAGGTGTTGATGGGCGTCTCTTTGTTGGGACCTCCCTGGTGGCACAAGGGGTTGAGTCGCATCACTATGAAGCTGTCCACAGCCACTGCAGCATGGCATGAGTTCGATCCCCTGCCAGCCAGTGAGCTTACCCACATGGTGCAGACCTCTCCTGTATCACCTGCTGCTCCCCTCAGCAGTGTATTTCAGTCCATCTGCCTGTTCTGCTCCCCACTCTGTCTCTGGTGAATCCGCTCACCCCACTTTACCTCTGGTCTGTACCTCAGTTGTTACATGCATAAATAAATAAATATTTTTTTTAAAAAGAAAATGTGTCAGCCTTCCACATTTTCTCCTGAAGGTTGGCCCTGGCCTCAGATGCAGTTTTCTCCATCTGATCATTACACTGATGATGAAAGCGCCCCTAGTGATAACAACCCACCACTGGTGAGCGCACACAGGACAAGGCTTTGGACAGTGGCAGGAGCAATTAAGATCTTTTGAAGAGGAAGAAGTTTAAGATGGAATGTGGCCTCCGTGGCCTATGCTTCCTCATTATTGCTGAGTGAACAGATTAAGCATGTCCTTATAGGAAGCCACATAAAAAGGAAATCCTGGTCCCTTCACACTAAGCCTGAATTTGGGAATCTGTAATTTGAATCCTTGACACAAGGGCATAAATGAATATGAAGGTCATGCATGTTTGCCCAACAGAAGGGCAATCCTTTAGTAGCAGTGCAATTTATTATTCCTCTCTTGTCATCTATTTGCCTCCCTCCAATTGATGGTTATCTCGAACTTTTCCCTGGGGTGTGAGCACATTCACTGGCTGAATAAGCTCTATCACTTGCTCACTGGGCTTCCTTCCAGAATTTGCAATGTAATAGATGGTGTTTCTAATTACTAGTAGTTATGTGAAACAAATGTTAATTTTGCTTTACATTAAAAAATTGTTTTAATCTCTTTACTGCAATAAATTTTATATTTAAACTCCCCTGTCCTTTTTATCATCAGTGTTTTGTAACAGGGAAAAAAATCAACAAAGAAACATAAATCAGTTTTATTCTCTATGTGGATCTAATACAACCTCCAGATGAATTAATTTTTTTGTAACCCTAAACACTATCGAACATCAACTAGTGATTCAGAAATAAGCACGTGCTTTTTGAAAAGATTAAATGCCTGTGACAGGCATTTATTGCTTTTGAAAAAATTAGGTATTGTATATATTTATGTATTATATCCATATATTACACACACACACACACATATATATGCAAGTATTAAGAAAATGGGTATTACCCAAAACAATTCCTACTTTTGAGAGATCTAGCAATTAATACCTACTGGGTAAGTCAGACAAAAGTGCTTGCTTTTGTTAATAATAATTCACTGAATGCCCCTGGTTTGCTTAGGGAAAGTAGACATTGAATCCCCTTATCCTTCTTAAGTTTATGATAAAATTAAAGGTGATAAATTGGGAACCATTAACTCTTGCATGGCAGAAAGGCACCTAAGCTATGAGGAAGTGCAAAAGAGGCAAACTCACTGCAAGAGTCTGCTCATTCCCTCCTCTCAAATGTGAATGGCAGCACTGGGGAAGAAGCTAATCTTCCCCTACCCTCTTATGTCCATTTGGCTGGGAAACAATTACATCCACACAGAGAGATTAACAAGAGAAAAGACAAATGCTAATTACATGCTCCTGGAGGCCCATACATAAAATAAGGAAACCTCTCCTCTGGCCATCCTAGTGAGTTATATAGTCTCCAGAAAGGGGGCAATGCATTTAGGAGGGAAAAGCAGAACAAAGAACTTGCAATTTAAAGAAAAAGGAAGTTTGCAGGGTTTGCCTACATAGGCATGGAAAACAGACCTTGCAAGATCTACTCCCAGTGATATGTGTCTTTCAGCCAAGGACAACCACAGAGATTTATTTCCTGATTTTAGGGACATAGATAATTAGGGGGGAAAAAGGCATTCTCCTGTTGAGTCCCTTAATTTCTTTCAATTCAAAATTATCTGCATGCCACTTAGGGACATCCTGGACAACATGTCTTTGGCCCCAATAGTAATGTCAATGGGGAAGGAAAGTCCTCAGAGGTGATGACTCTCCAGTATTTTAATCTTACAATGTCCCTCAGAGAAACACATGACATGGCCAGCTACAGAATAATTTATGCTGCACCTTTTCATATCTGTCTTGTGCAAAATTTTGACACTTCCTAAAAAACTCACAAGTGTTTTTACTCACAATTCTCCCATCCTTCAAGATCCTACTTAAACAACATGGTCTCTGGTGAGGCTCCAGCTCTCTTATTGAGGGCAGCTAGGTGTTAGGAGACTGGGAAATACAATAAAGACATGTGTTGATAATGCATATATCCTCCTGGTGTTCTGTAACAGTCCATGACAATCTTGGCAGATTCGCACACCATGGGTGGGCACCGCGTGAGCCATGCACAGGGATAAGGCCTCCGGCTGATGGCAGTGGAGCAGACACTGCTAAGCTCTGCTGCCTCAGATAATCTCTTGCTACTTGTAACTGTTGAACAGTCAGAGAGACTGACTGACGGTCAGTAACGCCATTTCCAAAGGTGCACAGTCTCAGGCCCTTTTCCACTCAGTAATGGAAATCTCCAGGCTGGTGTCAGGGACATCAATGTCCACGTGCTTCAGAAGTACTGGTGCGCGATCCAGTATAAAATGGGGATGTTGCCTATGTTCTTACCAGTTTTCCCAGGTGCTTTTCAAATTCCCCACACCCATCACCTGTCATGACTGGTGGATATGACCGCCAAAGTGAATGCTGTGCCTTACACTGGCCACAGCTGGCCAGTCGGAAGTCACCACACCATTAGCAGGATTCTGTATGGGTTAGTTGCTCAACCAGTGTTTACTAAATGGATGGATGGATGGATGAATATATATTTGGGCTGCTGGACCTTCTGGACTCTGTGCTAAAGTAAAGAAACTGAACTTTAAAACTGGCAGTTGAATTTCAAAGTTGGAGATGTTAAAATTTCAAGAACTTGAAAAAAAAATACTAGAATTGAAGAAGTCTAAGATTACATGTAATTGTGTTGATGAACAGAACTGAGTGGTGAGTAAATGGCTGACATTCTCTACCTGAAGGATGCTAACATTTCGAAAAATATTTAAAATAGATCTACCATCTGAACCAGCAATAGCACTCCTAGGTGTCTACCCAAAGAACACAAAGACACGATTTGGAAGGGATACATGCACTTCCATGCTGCACTATTACAATAGCCAAGTTATGGAAACAACCTAAGTATCCAAACACAGAGCAGTGGAATAAGATGCGGCACACACATACACAACGGCTTACTACTCAGTTATTAAAAAAGATGAACTCTTGCCATCTGCGACAACTTGGATGCAACTGGAGGGGATTATGCTAAAAGAAGTAAATCAGGAGGAGAAAGACAAATACCAGATGGTCTCACTTATTTGTGGAATAGAGAGAAACAAAACAAAGGGTCAGATGAAGCCAACCCAATCACAGACCCTAGAAATCTGAAGGTAAAACTGAGGCTACTGGAGGAGGACAGAGAGGGGGAAGGGAGAGAACAGCGTGGGGCGGGAGCAGAATGGACAATGGGTCTTTGGTGCTGGGTGTGGTATGGTAACAGCACGTGAAGGGGGCAGGGGGCGAGCCTATAGATCTGCAATGTTTAAACCAAAGCCATAAAGCAATTGAATTCCCTCCCTCCCTCCTCCTCCTACCCTTCCCTTCCCTTTCTCTCTCCTTCCCTCCATTCACAATCTCTCTCTCTCTCTCTCTCTCTCTCTCACACACACATTTTTAAAGGACAGTTTTATTAGGAAAAAGGGAAAGGAAGAGAGAGGCACCTGCATAGTCCTAAGTGGGCAGGAGCCGTTGTTGATAAATTTCATTACTAGTTCTTGAGACTCTCATTCAAAGCCATTTTCCTATTATTTTGAAAGGAAGGTACTTATGCTGAAAAACTAGATGCTATTTTAGTTTCTGCTGACATCCACAGACACTTTTGAGCAATTTGCCTTTTCTGTTCCCTTTATTTAATAAATTCCCAAGGTCATAATAATGAAAACCAGTCCTTGCAAGTGTACTGAAAGACGGTGGGATTGAAATGGGTGACCACTGCTAGAGTTTCCCAATTGATGAAACAAACAAACAAATAAGCAAAAACCCATGATCCTTGCAAAAGGTTGAAATAGGAATCCTTTTTATTGGTTACTACGTGTCCTAGCAACTTTCTGACAGAAGCATAGATAGAAAATGGAAACAAATATCTTACTGGGAATGTTTCCCTGCTTGCACTAAACTTGACTACAGCAATAAGGTATTGCTTAACAGTCACAGCACATCACGTCATCTGCACAAATGACACAGTAAGTGACAGTGCCGTTCCCAAGGAAGCAAAACATGCAAACAGGTCCCATGCACCAAGTGTTCTGGCTGAGTGCAGATGATGCTGCTAGAGCTGCAATATCCTTTCCTGGACACAGAAAGCCAGTTGTAGCCCTCTGCTTTGCAGCAGGGGTCACTCCCCCAACTCATCGGCCTCCTAACTGTACCACCAGTAAGGTTTTCTTCCAGCACCCACTTCCTTCCCTACTTATACAGCATTTCATTCTGCTTTTTCATATACAGCATTTCATTCTACTTTTTCTGCCATGATAAGAGCACTGTGTCCAAACAAGTGCATTAATGTAGACCTTTATTGGGAGATAAGATAGAGTCAGAGAGATAGCAGACAAGGTAGTATTTTGCCTTTCCAAGAAGCAATTCTCCTAATATAATTAAGAAAGGGCCCAAAGAACGTTAAGCATTATTTTTAGAGTCCTGCCAATAACTGCTTCCCTGAATGGCTGAATGTGGAGAAATGCAGCCACATTAATAGCTAAAATATTATTTATAAAAATAAAGAGAAAATACCCTTTGATGTTTTATAGATATGTTATTGTGAGTTGTAGAAAGCTCTAGAAGATGTGAGGGACATTGGATGCGGGAAGGGGGAGGGTGGGTCACCACGTGGTTGGCAGGCACGAGGTGGACTATTAGGAGTTCTACAACTTTCCCTCAAGGAAGACCTGACCTGGAAGGAAAAGCTAAATACTCCTCCATGCTGAAGAGTAATTTAGATGTGCCCAGGGGCGCCTGTGGCCGAGGGTCAGCTTAATTCTGATGCTTCTCTTTCCTCTATGATTTTAGAACCTTTTCTCATCTGGCACCAATAACACATAGACACAAGGACTTAGAGTCCATCCCACTTATTCCTTCTCAAAAGGGGAGGTTCCTTTGTGTATGAAAATAGAAAATGATAGTGCAGCTTTAACAGACAACTGAAGACCCTTTTGCATTGGGAGGAATTAACCAAAACCCAAACAAAACAGATTTCTTTATTCCCCCCTCCACCCCCAACCCCCATTAGCAAATTATCTGTTTTTTTTTTCTTTTTTTTTTATCTTTTTTGCAAAGTCATGAGAGGCACAAACAGGTAGCATGAAGGCGTGGTGAAGTGTCTCTGCGGAGCGCTCTCGCTGGGCCCTGGAGAGTGAGCTTCCCCCAGCTCAGGTGATGACAGTGGGGCCCCTGCGGCCAGTACGCTCATGAATCTGGGATATTTTCAGCGCGATGGCTATGAGAGGGCTCAGCACGGCCTGGAAAAGGAAGGAAACAGTGGGTGAACAACTCAATTCGGCCACTTGATGGGTTTCTATGGCAAGTATCTGGATTCACTTCTACTTGGCAGTTTACAGGAAGAGTGACCACAGGTAGGACACCTGTTCTCTCTGGACCTTGGATTCCTCTTCCTTTAAAGGTGATCAAAGTATACAGGACTTGGAGGTAAGGCAGAAGATGATCTCCAAAGTCTTATCCCATTCCAAAAACACTTTGATCTGACATAGGAAGCTGCACAACCCGACTTCCAGAGCACTGGAGCACTTCAGGAACAGAGCTTTGTGAATTACAGAAGTTCAGAAAACCCCATAGTTGCCCTGCAATGGCCCCTTCTCCACATGCACCCCCTCCCAGCACCCCCACTCCAGATACACACACATAAGCTTCAGGAAAAACACTCATTCTCCATCTTAAGACCGTGGGCCTGAAGAACCTTCTATCTTGATGTTTCAGAGAAGACAGATCAATTCATCAGCTAATGCTGTGGAACTAACTGTTCATTTCTTCCCATCATGTGACATGGTGGCTCATGAAGCACCTTGGTGTCCCCAAGAAGGATGGGGGTGGCTTAAACACTTAAGGAAGAGATTCTTGCACAAAGTGCATGAAGAAGAGTAAGAATCATTTCTTTAGCTGCTTCTCATTTCACAGGAGAAAGATACCACTTTCCAAAGTGCAGAGCACATGCCACCCAGGATGGTGTTAGGTGATATTGGAGATTATTTTAGATGTGTATGGATATGATATTACTTGCAACACAATGAAAAAGTTAATGCTTTCCATTCTTCTTCAATCCTCATAATTTCATCCAGGAGACACTGTTGTCAATCTTTAACACTTAAAGCAAGACCGAGCATGCCTCAGGCAAGAGTTACCTAGAGAGATAGTAACATCACTCACTGAACATTTTTATTGATTTTTATGGTTAGCTTATATTTATCAAGGCTTTTTTTTGTTTGTTTATCAAGGGCTTTTTTTTTTTTTTTGCCATATAGAACAGTGATGTAAACATCCTATAATAAATAGAGTTCATTTAAAGAGAAATATTAATAAAGAGGTAATGATAGGCAAGAAGTTTGGGAAATCCTGGAATAAGAAAAAAAGATACCATTATCAGGAAAATAAAATTTGCACTTGGGAAGGGAGAGGGAGAATCTGTTACTTGCACCCCTCACTTATTCCTAACATGTAGGGGTGAGGGGTTGTTTGCATTTGTGCTCTTGTCTAGCACAAGCAGAGGCTCAGGATCTCAAAAAACAAGTTGTCCACTGTGTTGTGAGTGCAGACAGGGTGACCCCAAAAGAGAAGTGAGCTGGCCTTGTGTAAAGGGATTGAAACACCAGGCGAAGTGCAAGGAATTCATTCATTAGGTAAGGAATAGGAAGGGGAGAGGTTAGAGTTGTGTTGAACTGAACGGTGAGGTTATAAAAGCTATCAGACAGACTGGTCAGCAAGTCCAGTAGTTTAAGGCATTTGTGTTAAATGGCTAAAGGGGAGATGGAGATCTAGAGAAATTTCATACCTGCGCAAGAAAACAGCGCTTCCCACTGATTGCACACAGAAATTTGACATATTGAAACAGAGGGATTTATTTTCCTTTTATCAGCCCAACTCTTTCCCAGAAAAATTTCCTACAGGCATGTTTTGCCAGGCAATATTACACCTGATACTTATATATATATAAGGCCGTCTTGTTTCTCTAGGAGCCAAGGACCCATTTTCTATAGAAATCGGCTTATTAGCTTTTGCTCCTCTTCTTCTCCTATCTTCTCTTCCCTCTTGTCTTCTTCCATTTTGTTGCTATTTTTTTTCCACTGATACCTCAAAAGAGGACAGAGAAGGAGAGCGAAATTCAAAGCAATCACTTTAATGAAGTTCTGGATAAACTGAAAATATCCTATTAAGTAAATGCTGTAAATTGAATTTGAAACTTCAAGAACTGAAAACTGAAACATAATTTGTCTTCTATCTTGTACATTTGAAGGTGAATGATTTTAAGTGGTGGCACCTATTGCCAGGCAGATGCAGCCAGTGCTGTAGAGACAGCAGAAGTCCTCTTGACTGATGTCCACTTAACTCTAGAGATGAGCCCATTCTTTCCATTTCTTCTGTAAAACATCTAGATTGATGGCACAGTGTAGTAGATGTCTGTGACCAAGAAATCACTCTAATCTATGTGCTCATCTACAGTCAAATTAGGCACCTATTGGGAGTCCATTACGTTTGTTGGTAAATTTATTAGTGTCTGATGTACTTGTTATAGAGATGATGCGATTACTAAATTATATATAAATTAGTGAAATGAGAAAATAAGAAGCTTTCTTTCTATGAAAACTAAGTTGAATGTTTTGGAAAGAAGTAAGAAAGGGTGATTAGTTGAACCTGTCATATAAGAGGTGAGATGCTGCAAAATATTGGGAGGAAATTTTAAAAGAATAGAAAATTCTTTCCTCAGATTGTTTAAACAATGTCTTTAAGTTCCTACTCATTAAAGGTGAACCTGATGGGTGGGAATCTTTTAAAGAAAGATAATCACAATGCTAAACAGAATGTTCATATTCAAAGAAAAGGTTTTGAACTTTGGGAAGATTGGTAAGTGAACATAATATTTTGTTTTCTTCTAAAGATACCATGGTCAAGACATGTATGCCTTTAATCACCTCTTTTAACTATCTTACCCCTGATCACATCAGAGAAAAAATTTCAATGGTAACCATGCATACTGAAGGGAAGGAAACACTTCTTTGGACTCTCCACATGAGGAAGACCTTGAACATGCAGACTCCACTTTGGGCCAGAGTCCCGTGCCAACCTGGCATTGGAGCCGTGGAGTCATCTGTTCTTGAAGGAGGGTTTGGAAGAAAGGACAGATGTGATAATTACCATGGACAGAACATTAGTGAGGTCCTTTCACTCATTTTCCAGGAACCCAGAAAGTCTTTAGATGTTCATATAACTCTAGGGAATTGTGAGGAGAGAACCCTAAAAATGCTCAAGATTGAATTTCTTGCCAGTCTTTTGGAAGAGGAACATCAAGTCATCATTAAAAGTTATACAACAATGTCTATTGTTTGCAGAACTGTATCAAATGTGTACTTTAGAATGAATGGCCAAATCATGAGGACAGGAACTTTGTCTAGTTCAAGTCATAGTAAAGTACCTGCTACTGCGAATGCATCTGATCAACTAGTGCTACAATGAACATCATATAAGTTTGATGAAAAGAAGATGATGAGGCAGACAGAAACTTTAGTAGATATTCAGGAAAGGCTCTGGGCATGTGAAAAGGTCAGCAATACTTGGCTTTCACTGTCATATTTTTTCTTTAGGAATTACAGTTTGGATACATGTGAATTCCAGAAACTTCTCTCATATTATCAGCAACATGAAAAGATAGAGGGGAGAGGGATACATTTCCTTGAGCAATTGAAAAGGTCCTCAGAATGGGGAGTGATAAGAGGGATAAAAATGAGAAGTCTCTGGATGTGAGACTTCTGAGGTAGATATTGGAAGCACAGAACCTGAGAAGCAGAGAGGAGCATGGAATGATCCAGTTTGATTCTTTCATATCACTAAGGGGGTAACTGAATCCCAACAAGAAGACATGTTTGGTTCAGGGTCCTTGTGTGTGTGGTGGCTGAGCTGGGATAACACCCCCTCTACTGCTCCTTTGATCACACAATTCTGAAAATGAGAATTATGAGTGATGAGGAAAAACCAAGGAGACAAAATGAACTAAGAGGAAATATGTTGTGATTGGCATCCCACTGTGCTAGACAAGTGCCACAGCAGATGAGGGGCGGGAAAGGACTAACAAGCCATCCCCACCAGCCACTGGACAGTGAAGAGAAGGTCATTCCCAGTTCCATGAGTTAAATGTATTGAAAGTTCCAATAAAGGAGATAATCTAATAGATACTTGAATCAATTAAGATATGGCTTTCCCTCCCCAATTCCAGTTATTCTTAGACTATTTGACAAAGCTTTTCTACATGCAAGAGCAGGAAATAGGGAGTGCTATCTTAGCGAAGTAGCCACTTACCTGCTCTTGCACTGTGGCCCCAGGCTCCTTGCTCCATGTGGGGGGGGGGTTGGGTGAGGGGTGCCATATCAGATGTAGTGAGCATACAGGCTAAAGAGGGGATCGGGAAGAGTCTCTAAAATTTTGGTACTTCGTTTATGATGGATTTTTTTTTGCATTGATTTTGATTTTTAAAAAATATTGCATTACAATGTTGACCTTGATAACTGTGCTTTTTTGGTGCTCTTGATTTTGCACCTGGCTAATTTCACTGTCATCTCCACTGTGTTATTAGGGTTTTAATCTGTCCACACTCTCTGGGAGGACAGAGAGACTTTCTCCCTTCATTTGTTTTCCTCTCTTCTCTTTCTTTATGTTGATATTTTGATCCTTGTTTGTGTACGTCAGAGTGATAAAAACAAACTCTGAACAAACTGAACTTCTTACCCTGATTGGCAGTGGGCAGGAGAGGGGTAGATGGGCTGAATGTCACAAGACTCCAAGTAAATAGTTAACTGAGGAATATTTTTCTTTTTGAGGAAAACAAAACCCTAACCAGAAGCGCAATCACTTATTAAGCAAGATCTATGAGAATTTATGGAGGGAACCCAGCGCTGGACTGGTATTGACAAGGAGGGTACATTAGGACGATCAGGAAAGTATCACTCTGGGGTGACAATTCTTATCCTAACTCATGGTTCATGGTTTGGGATACATAATATAGAGAATATAGGTCAAGCAACAGAAAACTGACATTCTGGCATTCATAAAATAGGGATTTAAATCAGTGTCACCCTCTCTTGATCCTAAGGGAGGAACTGTTTGACTTTCACTATTTTATTAGTGTGGGACTGAGGGGTATCTGAAGTCCCCGAAACTTGCACATTCTAAAATGGAACCCTGCCATCCACTACATAAAGTCAAAAGAAGTATATTCTTAATGTGAAAGAACTTTAAT